TCATAATATAAAAAATATAAATGATCAGGTAGACTTACAAAGCATATTAAATATTGATGTTTTATATGGTTTTCATCGCCTCACCTTGACAAGTCAGTAATATGTAGAGTGTCACTTCTCTCTGAAAGTGTTTTTAGGAATCTCCACAGGGTAGAAGATGAATGTGATGTCGTAGTAGTGGGGTATATTAAAAACATCACATGACTCAAAAATTAATTTATTATTATCACTTAATAATAAATTATTATTTATTTTATATATAAAATCACTTAATCATTTTGTTGATATTTTTCAAAGGGCTTTATGGCATTTGTTTGGTATTACAATGTTTTAGGGCTTTATGAAGAATAAATACTTAATTTCATGATGTGTTTCCTGATACAGTGTCTTTGTGATGTTTTGAGTATAATTTCAAGGAGACTTTAAACATTGCATAAGGTAGTTAAGTTCATTCTTGAGTTGACAAGAATGTTAATCAAGTTGATTTAAAGAAGTTTAAGAAAAAGGAAGCCTCGTTCATTAATTAGCATCAGGGGTCAATGTTAGGTAATTGAGGTACCTAACCTCTCTGAGAGGGTGACATCAAACCCAACTTCCAAATACCTAGAGAAAGCCACCTCTGCCAAGAAGAAACGAAGCCCCTAAAATTCATGGACCAAAGTCAGGGCTCATTGCGAAGCGATGTTCATACTGAAAAGAAGCAAGAAAATCCACACCCAGTAGAACTCTCTCCTACATCCCTCTCAGAGCACACGCACCACCCTCTCCCACCACACTCCTTTGATGAAATTATTCTTCCGTAAAACCTCTGTGTGAAATAATTTTTTTTAAATGCCTGTATCCTAATGAGTGGGAGGTACTTTTCAAGTCTCCGCATCTTTTCTGTGTAGCCTGTGCCTGTTGCACTTAAGCCAAGCAATGAGCTTGGCAGACTGGTTGTAGCAGAATCTTTAGGGAAGGTGAGAGACAGAATATGTAAAACATATTTTCAAACATAGCAGTATAATATTGAATGTTGAATTCTAAAAAGGGGCGGGGGGGAAACGTGCCACAAAATGCAGACTATAAAAATAAAGCTTGACTAAATCTTGGATGGTGTGTCTCTAAAGAGATGAAATTGTCATAATTTTAGTGGTGAGGAGAATAGATTCTTGTGCATAGTAAAAGACGGCGTTTGTTTGAAAACATTGGGAAACATAATCTGAGATACTTACCTAAAATTACCCTCCTGGCACTTTAAGAAGTGTATCAGAGTTCAAAAACTATACTGTTCCATCTTAACAAATAATTCTAAATGAATTATCAGGATAGGCACAGATAGATGTTACAGAGATATATTACTCGGATTTCTTTGTAATTGTGAAAATTTGGGAGAAAATCTGCCCACTAAAGGGAAATGAATAAATAAGTTTCATATGAATATTCACAAAATTCTATCTATTAACTAAAAATTGTCCATTGGAAAATGGTTTGGTGCCCTAGGAAATGCTCAGGAAGAAAATAAGAGTATAAAATGTAATGAGTCGATATTTAACGGGAAAGAGACACCCTCATTCACACATAGAAAAAGTTACAGAAATGGAATTGATTCTTCTTTAGAGAGCAATTTGGCAGTGTTTGCAAAGTCGAAAGTGTCCACAGCCTACAATCCAACATTAGTGTAATTGCTATACCACTAAATAAATAGCTGTGTAATCAAATGGTAGAATACTATTCAATTGTTAAAAATTAATGGATTGGATCTATATATCAGAAACTGAGTTAGATCGATATATATCCCTACAGATAGCTCTCAAAACAATATTAAGTTTTAAAAAGCATGAGGTGGAATGATCTATTTGTAATAGCATTTATGTAAAGTTTTAAAACGCACATAGCCACACCAAATACTGTGTGTGTACCCATGTATGGAATAACATACGAAAACAACGCCCAGAAAGACGCAGACCGGAGTTGTAATGCTGGTGTCTCTGAGGTAGCAAAGAGGAGGACTGGAAATAAAAACGGGGTGGGGATGGAGGGGTAGTATTTGACTTACCCACAATGTTTTTTAAGTCTTTTATTTAAATACAGAATGCTTACATTATAGATTTTTAATTGCCTCACATTATTACTTATTATATTCTCTTATTTTTATTGTGTGTGCTTTTAAAGCTAAAACCAATAGCTGAAAGAAAAGTGTATTCATCTTTACAGCGTTTACTATTCAGAAGTGAGATTTCTGTGCGATCCTCACAGTTGTCGGTTTGAAACCAGCAGCAGCTCTGTGGGAGAAAGCCTCTTTATTCCCCAAACAGATACAGCCTCGGAAATCCACGGGAGGTCCCTACGAGTCAGCAGTGGCTCGGTGGGAGTGAGCTTGGTTTTGATTCGTAAGATTACAAGTGAATATTCATTTTCATCCTCAAACAGAAAGTGGATATTGCAATCAGAAAAACAATGCCTTTTACAAATTAAATAAAGAATAGTGGAATGGTTAGTGGCCTTCTCCACTAGAGCCCTTACAGTCTTGCTATGCCAAAAGGCTGAAAGCGTGAAAAAGGATGACTCTAGGTGCAAGGACAGAAAGCTGTGTGCTGCTCGCTGCTTGCTGCTTGCCTGGGTGGAGATGCACAGAGCGGTGGCTAGGTCCTGGGAAGGGCCCCAGTTGGTCAAAGCTAGTGCTTCTCAAACTGAAGCAAGTATCACAATCACCTGGAGCCTGGCTCCAAAATAGACTGCCCCAGAGTTTTCGGAATCAGTGTGGCTGGGACGGGCCTGGGAATTTGCATTTCTAACCAATGCTCCCAGGTGTTACTGCTGTTGGTGGTAATGCTAGTCCAGGGACAGGTCATTTTGAGAACTGCTGGTGTAAGCAAAACCAGGCCATACAATATTTGTATTTATGACTACTGAAATGTGAGGGAGACATTTGGCATGAATCACTCCAATGTTATTATCTGGCAGATCCACAAATTACTTAATGGAGAGAGCCAGCCAGTCTCGGGGAAATTGGAGCCGCATATAAGGGTAGGCAGATAAGAAATAGGCATCAAATGATCGGAAATATCCAAAGTGGGCGTGGGTCCAGTCTAATAATCAGAAACCACTTCAAGAGATTTCTTTTGGAAACACAATAAAAAGGCATGAAAAGAGATAAACTGTTTGTTTATTTTAAGCACATTCTGTCATAAGAGTACTGAGCTTGTTACAAAGCCGAGAGACCTGGATGGTCTGAATTTCAGCTCGCCACACCTTTCACTAAACTGGGAGCTCCTTAGAACTGGGATAGACCCTTTCTTGTTGCCTGGGACTTCTCTGTCTTCGCTCCATTCCTTTCCCTTCTCCTCCCTTGTCCTTTTCTGCCCTTCTGTATGAAGGGACCTTACCATCTTTGTACTTCCAGTACCTAGCACAGTAGCCAGTAGATGCTCACTAACTGCTGGACCAAACAGGAGTAAGCCTAAGTGAGTAGCAGGGGTCCTCATTAAAAGTGCAATGGATGGATACCAAACTTGGGCATTTTGTCTGCACGTGGGCCCTTTTGTTAGACACGCCGAATGGAGTGGGCTCACAATGCAAATTACTATCTTGAGACTGTAACTACTGAGCCTGAGCATTCTCTTTATAGTTCACATTTTCCCCAATACAGCGTTGCTGTTTTTCCCATTATCTGCTAGTGTTTTCCATACTCACTCACCATTCCTGGCCTTCCATTAAATGAGTATGTGCTGCATTAAAATTCCGTCAGCTTGTCTCAGAGATGAGTCTGCTAATAAGGATTATGTCTGAGTGCATGAGAACCTTGACTATAATGCAATATTCTGCTGTTCCAGTGTAGTGATCCAAAACAGGTGAGGCGGAAGATTCAATGTTTGGGCCACTAGGAACATGTAGACATTTAGGATTACTAAGTAATTATATGTCTATTTATACTTCAAATAGTTGATTAAGTTCAATTGCAGTTTTGAAATCTTGTGCCTAAAAGAATAGTTTGATTTGTTTTTAAATTTCATGGAATAGTTTTGAATCCATACTTCCATATGAGTCTGAAATCATCTAACAGTTTTCCACCTGCTCTTTATGTCCACCTAAGTTTTTTTAATGCAGCATTTTTTAAAATCTGTGGATAATGCTGTCATGAGAAAATCATCAGATAGCACAAATTATTTTTTTCAAATTTGTCTTTTAATGTAGTTTCATGAGGCCCACAATGTAACAAATACCATATCTTAAATTAATCTTTAAACACTGGTTTACAGTAACAAGTAATGCTGCTACCAATGGCATCCTATTATCTACCAGGATTGGGCACTAAAACTTTTAAAATTTTGTCACCTTTTTGTGTGTAGCATTCCCATCAAGATGACTTACATAAAATATTCCTGTGGTTTCAAGCCAGCATGCCTTCTGCAAACTGAACCTGGTAGCGCAACAAAGAGTGCATCCCCAAACCAAAGGGGTTTTAGGACCCCTTGACTGTAAGACAGCTCCTGCTCTGGGGTCAGGAGCCCGGAGATGACAGGCTTGTCTTCTATTAGGGGACCAGACTCTGTTTATCTCCCTTTTTCTTTCTTTATTTTTTCAAGCAGCTGTTCTTTTTGGGCCAATATACAGACTGAAAAAGAAAAGTGAATCACAGATATATATAGAATTAAGGCATGAATAAGATGTAGCTCACAATTTTCCGTTGTCAGGTCATAAGAGGTAACGGATGTGTTTTTATGTGAGCTAGGAGGAGGAGTGTGTGAGAGAGAGAGAGAGAGAGAGAGAGAGACCATAATTATGGCTCGACACGGAGTAATTACAAAGTTAGGTATGATGAAGAACAGGCAAATTGGTATAACTGAAGTAAGTAAATCAAGTTGAAAGAGGAAAATAAGTTGAATTCGTCACATAATTTAATGCCAGAGAACCTCAAAGTGGTGTGGTACATTTGGCAGTTTATTCTTTTTTTAAATTGTGTACCTTCTTGGTTTTTCAACGCTAAATATACAGCTTGTATGTTATATGTGTTTCAGGCTATGTTGTTGGGGTTTTGAAGACATGAAAACATCAGATGAGCCAACCTGCAACAACATGGATTCCCAGGGGCAGAGCGAGAGAAGCTTCAAAGAATGTGGCCGATAAAGACGGGTGGTACCTGGAAATCATAACTGACTCACACTGTAAAAATGAGACTGGTTTCTAAACAATAGAGATTATTTTAGGCCGCCATCAAAGTTCAAGACAAAATGTTGAAATAAAAACTTTACACTCCCCACCCCTCCCTTCGGGCAGGTACCAGCATTGGTGAATTATGATTTTCCTTAATCAGAAGCATTCATTTTTACCCATGTAGACCACCTATAAGAATTAAATATCAGTTATTTAATGTAGACTAATAATGGGAAACTGATTTATCACAATGGCAGATTTTAAGGACTTGGTTCCAAACTGAGCTGAAGCTTCCCAATGCGTTTTGTACCGTCTGGGAAACACTGTGCTGCGCTGGCCTGTCTTTGAAGGCCATCATGCCATGTAAGATAAGGATATCATCGTATTGCTGATATCTTTGAAGAGTCCCAAGCAGACACAGAAAATGAATGGAGGCAAGGAGTGTGACGGAGGGGACAAGGATGGGTGTCTTCCAGCTATACAAGTTCCTGTGGGTTGGCAGCGTCGAGTGGATCAAAGTGGAGTGCTCTATGTCAGGTGAGCTTTATTATTACCTATGCTACCTCAAGGTTGCACACCTAAGATTAAGGTGGTAGAGTCTCTTCCATGAGCAAAATACCATGACTGATAGCGTGTTAAGTAAATTTGAATAAATGACCTTTGTGCTAGAAATATTCTCGTGTGTTTATTCTGCAGTTTTGCAATGCAAATTGCTTTGAGTTACCAGAGAGAGGTTTTGTGCATTACTTGTGCTTAAAAGAAGGTGTCATTCTGCATATCTTCTTTACAAACTAGAAGGATAGAGAAAAAATATGGAGATTTCTAAAAGAAACATAAAAAGCATCATTACCACATTCACTGAAGAAAGTAAAATATTGAAAATAGACCCAGTATCTGTTGACAATATGATGCTCTTCCTCACAATGCTTCAGTTGAACGTTCCAATAGAAGGTTGAGTGTGTTTATCTATAGGCAGTTTCGGTTACTATATTCCTCCCTGCCTGATATTACCTAAAAATAAATGCCTTATTTTTTCTGCGCAGTTTTACTCGATTCAGTTGCACATGGTAATTAAAGAGAAAAAATCATGATGGGAATGGTTCTTCATCTCACAAATAAAATTACACAAATAAAGCAGAAATCCCTGTTTCCAATTTTGATGGCATATATCTCATGTAGAATAAATTAAATGGAATAACTAAGCTGTTGGCAAGTAGTTTTAGTCTTACTATTATATAATCGCCAAGTTTCATCACTTGTGGCATTCAATCCGTCTTTGTGACATAATTGAAAATAGTTAGAACTTTTGAAAACACACCAAATCCCATCCTTAAACTGACTTCTAATGTTATTATTGGTATTATTGTATTGTACTATTTGTATTTTTATATTATTCAATGAAGTCCTTTATCCCCCGAAGAAGGATTTATATGAGAGGTACTCTCTGTCACAGAAACACAAAGCATTTCATACCGTAAGGACTCAGAAAGTCAGCTCAGATTCTAAGTTATATTTCTATTCTGTGGAACAAGTGCCTTGAGGTAAATCTAATTCCTAATTGAAATTCTGGGCTCACCTTTCTTCCTCTGTGACGTTAAAAAGTACGCACTATAGTAATCGAGGCTACAGGATAAAAAGGCAAGGAATACGGAATTCACCTCCTATCTTAGTAGCCTTAATTAGACACGATGGGGAAGATACAACAAAATAACTTTCTTCAACTCTTCCTATTGCTAGTGCTGTTTGCAAAGGGCCAGGGTGCCTTTTTATAAATATAATACACATTCCTATGCACAGTCCTTCTAGTTTGTAGAGAGCAGGTATAGATTCTGCTTATAGCAAATGGCTGTAAAATCTGGACAGTTTAATACCTATGAAGGGCAAGTCGGCTTTTCAGATTGCTGAAAGGAAAAAAAAAAAAAAAACGGGTCTGGAATTTGTCTGTTACCTTGTTTATGAGTTTCCAAGTCTGAATAGACGTCATCATTTGATAACCCTGTTAGTGTGAGTTCTCCATGTTCAGATATGTGTGCTAAGAATTATTTTGGAAACTCACTTTCCCTGATAGGTAAAAAACTTTCAAATTAAGCCAGCATGAGCTTCATCTGTTTGTATATAACTCCTTAAATTGCTACTTCAGCCTGCATAGAAGGCTAGCCCTACTTCTGTAGCTCCCTCTTCAATGTGCAATGTGCTTTAATTTTTAAGTTAACTTTCCAGCTGCTCCTGCCTGAGGGTGGCATCAAGGCTACACATCGCATTTCCCACCTGCTTCCACTCTTCTGAGCTTTGTGCCCCAAGCCTTGTAACTATGTTTTACATTAATTATTACTCTCAGAAGTTAATTAAAGAGCTATAACTGAAGGAAAGAAACCAAGTGATTGAGAGGAAGTGTTCTTAAAGTGTTTAGAGCATAGGGTACAAATAGGAGTCTGGACTGCTTGTCTTCAGTTTAATTTTAAAATTATATTCTTTTAGGACTCAATCCTTACAAATTTAGCTACAGAATGTTAGGCTGTTGCTTTTCACAAAACTCATGAAATTCTTACATGGGAGAATAATGAAGATACTATTAGTAACAAAATTACAGGACTCCCCAAATCCTCTTATTGCCCTTCTTTCCTATGAGGGAAGCCAGGTCTATAATATAGGGAGTTAGTCTTTATATAGCATCTACGGCGTGTTTACCAAAATGGGCAATACCACCACCGGGAGGCCCTGGAACAATTCAGGGGGCTTGCAAAAGCAATATTACCTATACTTTATCCTGGATTATGAGCTATAGCACAAGCCTTTGTTAAATTGCTAGGGGACTGCTGCGTAAAAAAAACAACAATGCCAGCAATAAGGCCAAGTGAGATTGGGAGCCTGTGATCCACAGGGGAAAAAATACTAGTGAAAGGTTTAATTTAGATTTTCTATATGCATCAACGGGAGAAAGATGAGACTTTCTACCCCTATAAAGAGTTAGCCTCCGAAATTCATAGGGGCAGTTCCACCCTGTCCTATAGGGTCGCTACAAGCAGGAGTGGACTTGATGGCACTGAATCGAATTACATGCCTAAAAAGGTGCTCTGATGGCAAAGCAGACTGCGTGTTGGGATGCTCATCTCAAGGTCCGTGGGGCAAACCCATGGGGGGGGCGGGAATTGAAGCTCCTGCTCCCATCAAGATTTACAGCCTTGGAAACCCACAGGATCCCTGGTGGCATTGTGGGTTACACACTGGGCTGCTAACTATAAGGTCAGGTCCGTAGGTCAAGGGCATTTCCTCTGCTCCACACGAAAAAGAGGAGACTTCTATTCCCCTAAAGAAGGACAGTCTCAGAAGCCTATTGAGGCAGTTCTACCCTATCCTATAGGGTCGCTGTGAGTCAGATGAGTTGATTAGATGGCAACAAGAGTGAGTGAAACCAAATGCCAATATTATTTTTTTAAAGCAGCAGTAAAGATTTACATCATGCTGATTTCACTACCTGATCCGTAGATTCGATTCACAGTGTCATAATGACTTCCGTGGACCCGCCTGCACTACCACTTGGGATTCACTTCCTCAAAAACCCCATCCTTTGTCGTCACTTCTGCTCTTCTCCTTGCAGTTTGACTTCTCACTTTGAGTTAGGCTACACTGGTCTGTCCATAGTCAAACAGCTCAGGGAAGAAGAGAGGGAAAACTAAGAGACCTGTTTTTGGCTCAGGTCGGCGTGGTTCTCAACGCCAAGATTAAAAGAGAAGTACTTGTGAGGCCCAACCTTTGGGGACTCTCCGAGTTTCTGGTGTGACTTCCAGCGTGTTCTTACATTGCCGTTTTCCCTCAGACCTTGTACACAGATCTTCTCGTGTACAATGGTAATGATTACTTTTGTGGAGTTGCTCTCCTTGCTGGTTTTTTCCTGATTCGAACTGTCCTTTCTGTAGATCAGCAGCCTTTCTTAATAGAGCTTTCCCCATCTTCGGTCCATCTTCAGTTCTCCTAGTTTTCAAAATTCTTTATTTCCTATGAAGATAGGTATTTTCCTAAGAAATTTTTGCTTCTAAGGAAAGAGCTATAGTGTTAGAGACTGTAATTTAGTAGCTAACATAATATTGACAAAGAAAATGATTTTCCCTAGTAGGAAAATATTATCCTGTGAAGGACAGTAGGAGGCGTATAAACCATGCCTGTTTTCATATAATATTTGCAGTCAGAATTATTTCCTGATTTTTTTTTTTTTTACTATTTTTACAGTCCCAGTGGGTCTTTGCTATCTTGCTTGGAGCAGGTTAAAACATACCTGCTTACTGACGGAACATGCAAGTGTGGTTTGGAATGTCCTCTGATCCTCCCCAAGGTAATCATTTCACAACAGATCTCTCAGCAGTTTGTTGTTGTTGGCTTTTTAAATTTAAGGTGTATAATATATGTGCTCTTCTCATTTGGTATTTTGTTTTTCTATAAATGCTTCCAGAAATCCATGCAATTTAAATTTTTACCTAACTCAACATCTTTTGCCCACCTTTTGCAATGCTGAAAAGATTGTGAAAATGGTTCAAATACAAGAGTCATTTTCTTAGGTGACAAACCTGTGTTCATAAGAAGTATTTCATTACAACCACTTTTGTGCCATTTTACTAGAGCTATACTTATGCTCCGACTTTAATGCAAAATTCCGTTTTACAACTACAGCTGCTCAAATCTGCAGCGTTATTTTTAGTGCTAGTGTTGGTAGGTGGTGTTGATAAATCTGCCACAAATCTTTTCTAAAATCCCAGAGCTGAACCTTTGTAGCCAAGGCGTGAAACTGAGTTGCTCCTGTACAAAATAAAAAGTAAGATTATTTAAAATAGCAATGTATTATTTACTAGAGAAGCAGGTCATTGCTCTCTAGATGTCCCATTATCGTGCTATATTTAGAAGTAAATATTAACAGACAGTGCTTTCCTTTTTACTTATTTATATATTTTCTCATTCCAAAAAGATAATAATTTGAAGCATCTTAGAAAAATTTCAAGTAGAGAAATAAATTCTTAAAAATATGGGTGAAAATATAATATTAATAATAATAAAATGAGACCAAAGAAAATATTGGCAAGTAGAAATATCAGAGCTTTTTGTTTGGGGTGTTGTTTTTAACTTTCATCATTTATTATACTCTTACAGCATGAGAACATATTTAACTAGGAAGCAACCAGATAGCATAGCTTTCTACTATTCCTCTTCAGTCTCTTAGACTTAAAATAATTTTAATTAGTTACTTTACCACTAAAAATCTTGAGCAGAAATATTTCTTAAGTTATATAAGATTGCTTATCTTATATTTAAAAGCTGGACAGAGTTTTATTCTGATTTATGGCCCAATCTCTTCACAGTTGTTTTCTTGTTCTGTGCAGAAAGCATATATTTGTATTGAATGTCTTAACAGACCTATTCTAAACAAAGACTGCTTTTTCCAGGTGTTTAATTTTGATCCCGGAGCTGCTGTGAAACAGAGAACTGCAGAGGATGTTAAAGCCGACGAAGATGTCACCAAGCTATGCATACATAAGAGAAAGATTATTGCAGTGGCCACACTTCATAAAAGCATGGAAGCCCCACATCCTTCTCTGGTGCTCACCAGTCCTGGAGGAGGGACGAGTAAGTAATAGTGGTGAAGGGTTTACAGATGCCCACCCTCCACTCCTCTCCAGTAAAGGAATCATTTGAAATCACTTTGCCAAACATGGCCCCCTCCTACATTTCAAATATGCACAATGCTTTTAAGTTCCGCATGTTCTATCATTTTATTACAAATAGTAAATTTGTTCCAAAAAACTACCAGAAGGTTGTTTCCCCAAATTTCCTGTCCAGATCACCTAGTTAAACAAGCAGAATAAACACTAATTAGCACATAAAAATGCTGTGCAAGTGTGTATAGCTGAGCTAACAAAAGAAAAAGTGTTACTGCTTTTTAGGAAACAAGTGTAGCCTTTTTCTTAGCAGTAAGATTGGAAAGTATGGTATCAAGTCTCCAGTGTAGCAGATCAGGAACTAGCAGCATTGTTCTTTACTCACAGAGCACCTGCTGAACAGAAATCACTGTGCCAAGAACTTTGTATCTTACACCCACACACATACACACACACGAGGGAGTACCCCCCAAAAAACCGGAATTGCACTGGGCAGAGCTGAGATGTCTTAGTAAGCATTTTTACCACCAGACCAGTATAGAGGAACTCACTCTTAGTGCATCCAGTGGCGTCACCTGGGAAGGTTCTCTCTGGTCACAGTTAATTGTTCCATCAAGGTAGCTTAGCTCCAAACTCGTTTTTGGTGATGGCCAACTTAAGAGAACAGCACACGGATGTGAAATTTTATTTTCTGCTCGGGAAAAATGACGCAGAAACTGTTTTGATGTTGAACACAGCTTCCAAGGACACTGCCGTGTACAGTGGTTTTCTCATTTCAAAAAGGGTGAAATGTCAATTGATGACAAACCTCTTTCTAGATGGCCATCAACTTTCTGAACAGACAAAAATGTCAACTCACAGTGCATTCAGAGTTCTTTCCTCCAGGTCAAACTGTTAATCAAGCTTTCTACTTAGTGGTTCTGAAAAGATTGTGTAACAATGTGCACCATGACAAAAAAGGCCTGAGTTGTGGCATACAGGGCACTGGTTTTGCCACCACAACAAAGCACTTGCTCATGCAGCCAGTGCTCCAGTTTTTGGCAAAAAAACAGCATGTCTCTCTTCTCCCATGCATCTTACTCACCTCACCCTCCCCATGTGACTTCTTTTTGTTCCTGAAATGAAGAGGGACATGAAAGGACAGCTATTTGATGAAGATGTAATTGAGGTTAAAAAAATAAAAACGAGGGACGTGATGTCAGCCATCCAAACAGATGAGTTTGAAAAACGTTTCTGAGAATGGAATCACAGATTTGACAAATGTATTAAGTGTAAGGGAGAGTCCTTTGAAAGGGATAAGGTTATTTTGTTTTAAAAAAAAAAAATTTTAATTCATAGCTTTGGGGGGAAAAAATTCCAGTTTTGGGGGGGTATCCCTCGTGTGTGTGTCACCGAGTTGCTTCTGATTCATAGCAACCTTATAGAGGAGGCGTAGTCGGCACATCCCCATTTTCTACAAGCACGTACCCTTTGATGGATTTATTACCACCGCTGCTCTTTCACTTAAAAAAAAATCTCTCTTAAACAGAAAATGAACTTCAATGTTGTATATAACTGCTATAATTTTATTAACTATTGATTCTCAACTTGTTATATATTCTAGAAATTACTCTATCCAAAAATCAACACCAAACTAGAAAGAGAAAGCTCACATTTCTCTAGGAATAAATATAGATATATGTATATCTTAAACATGCAGGTTACTCATGTAAATAAGTATTCCTTGGAAAATGAAGTTAATTATACTTGTTAATACCTGGGGAAGTAAAAAAAATGCTGCTATAGATTTGTAGTAGCCTTTATTAAACAAAAAATTTTAAATGTGAAGCTGTGTTTCTTAATACATCCTTCAACTAGGTCTATACACTTCTGAAGGTTTTATTTCCATACTTCCCCAAAGAACTTTACGCTTTTCAGTTACAGTACAATGGCAGTCATGGCATTCTCGAGGGATTCAAATTGCTTTCCTTTTAAATGTTCTTAGAGTTTGGGGTAAAAAAAAAATTCTGAAGGGGCACGATCAGAATGAAGGGTGGGCGAGGTAAGGTTTCCTCTTTTACACACCAGCCCTTGAGTGAACATTGTCATGAGAAAAAATCCCTTAGGGCAAATTTCCTGGCTATTTTTTTTTTCCGCTAGTGCAGTTTTCAATTTTTTTACACCTTTTTCCTAATAAAACCCCTTGATCATATTTTGAAAAAAATGTATCAAAACTACCCCTTTAGAATTTTCAAAACAGTTGTCATACTTCTGAGTTAGCCTCCTGCTCTTGAATTTAACTGACCCAGTGATTCCTTTTAGAAGCCATGGTTTTAATTATGCCTTAATCTAATGATTCTCAACCCTAATGAGATTGAGACCGATTACTGGAAAACTTGCTTACAGCCAATCCACTGAGCATACAAATAAGTTTATGCACATGTTTCTTCGGTATAAACGCATGCATGTAGGAACTGGCATCCTGGTAGCAATACTTATTGAATTGCTCTGGTGTTGTGTAGGTCACCGGACAAACATGGCCAATACAGAGTATGAATAAGCCCCTTCCATCCCTCTCCCGTGATAGACAGCCACATTAGCATTGGGTCATGGAACCAGCTCCAGCCCAAGGTGCTTTCAGCACAGCTCTCTAGGCAGCCACTACCAACCAATGATGAGAACTGGCATATGAGATATACTTATGTAGCAATTTCTATTGTAGAAGACACAACTTTATAAAATAGTTAAACATCCTTAGGGACTTAACAGAAAACTTACACTTAGAATTCTGACATGATAGAGTGAAAATGTTGTATGATGAGCTTTTGTTACCTGTATTCTCTCTGGTCTCCAAGAGAACTGAAGGGATTTTCAAAAGCAGGGTAGAGAGAATGTATTCATGTCAAAAGAGAATACTCAATTGGAACCTAGTCTGAAGGTTTTAGCACTCTGAATTTTTGCTTCAGGATTCTATGCCAGTAAAAGAATTGCCATCTTTTATGTATATTAATTGGCTAAGTCCTTTTTTACAGTAATGACTGGTTAAGGGCAAATAAATTAACAATGGCAACAGACATGATGTAAAACTAAGCATGATTGTAATATCATTGCATTTTCTGTTGTTACCAGTCTCACCATAAAAGCGCCAGAATCCCATTCACTTACTTGACAAAAATTAAGACTCTTTTTACTCTCGCAGTGAAGAAATGTTGGGATCGGTGTTACTGTAGCTGTCCTGAGGCGGTTTTAGTAGAGTAACAGAAACATTTATAGGGTACAGATTTTCTGGTGCAGTGGCAATTTATTTCAGTCAGCTAAAGAAGTATTATGCCACACAGATTACCATTTCTGTTATAGCTGTTCTTGAAATTTTCAGATTCAACAAGCTAGCTATTCCCGTGTGGGCTTTCAGTCTCAAATTTTCACAGTCTTAATATTATTAGAGTGGCTAATATCAGTGTGTACTGATATAAATCCCCATCCTTTATTAACAGGTAAGGAAGAAATAGGTAAGATAAGTAGTTATTAGGGACCTTTGGTCACCTATAAGAGTTAAGTGCACATTCTTTTCCTCAAAATTTCACTTGCCTTGAGTGATCGTTTCTATTTGCTGCAAATCTCCCATTTCCAGGTACTCTACATCCTCTCTGCCTTATTTCCACCTTCCTCCCCTCTCCACCCCCAGGCCCCACCACTAGCATAGATCCACAAAAGAAGAGAGGCTGCTAACAGATTGTTTTTTTTCCCTCCCTTTCTCTTTCACATCAGATGCAACTCCAGTAGTACCTTCTCGGGCAGCAACTCCAAGATCAGTGAGAAATAAGTCGCATGAAGGAAGTACAAATTCTGTAATGCCCGAATGCAAGCATCCTTTCAAGTTCATGACTGGATCATCTAATACCACGGGAAGGTTGTATGTACAAGAACTGCCTGGGAGCCAGCAACAAGAACTCCACCCCGTCTACCCCCGGCAGAGATTGGGCAGCAGTGAACATGGACAGAAATCTCCATTCCGTGGCAGCCATGGGGGCCTGCCCAGCCCAGCGTCATCAGGATCCCAGATATATGGAGATGGCTCAATCTCGCCAAGGACTGACCCGCTTGGAAGCCCTGATGTTTTCACAAGAAATCATCCTGGTTTTCATGGAGCTCCCAATTCTAGTCCCATTCACCTGAATAGGACTCCACTTTCTCCACCTTCAGTAATGCTCCATGGCTCTCCTGTACAGTCATCCTGTGCAATGGCTGGAAGGACTAACATACCTCTTTCCCCAACCTTGACTACCAAGAGTCCAGTAATGAAAAAACCAATGTGTAACTTTTCAACTAACATGGAAATACCACGATCGATGTTCCACCACAAACCACCCCAAGGCCCACCACCCCCTCCTCCACCTTCATGTGCTCTTCAGAAAAAGCCATTAACATCCGAGAAAGACCCACTTGGCATTCTTGACCCTATTCCTAGTAAACCGGTGAATCAGAACCCTGTTATCATTAATCCAACCAATTTCCATTCAAACGTCCACTCTCAGGTACCTGTGATGAATGTAAGCATGCCTCCTGCTGTTGTTCCTTTGCCAAGTAATCTCCCTTTGCCAACTGTAAAACCTGGTCACATGAATCACGGGAGTCATGTACAAAGAGTTCAACATTCAGCTTCAACCTCCCTGTCCCCTTCTCCAGTGACATCCCCAGTGCACATGATGGGGACTGGAATTGGAAGGATTGAGGCATCCCCCCAAAGATCACGTTCATCTTCCACATCATCAGATCATGGAAATTTCATGATGCCACCTGTAGGACCCCAGGCCACTTGCAGTGGTATTAAGGTTCCACCCAGGTCACCACGGTCAACAATAGGGTCCCCAAGACCATCAATGCCATCAAGCCCTTCTACCAAGTCCGATGGATATCACCAGTACAAGGATATCCCTAATTCATTAATTGCTGGAATGAGTAATGTACTAAATACCCCAAGCAGTGCAGCCTTTCCTACTGCACCTGCCGGAAGTGGTTCTGTAAAGAGTCAGCCTGGTTTGCTGGGAATGCCTTTAAATCAGATCTTGAACCAGCACAATGCTGCCTCCTTTCCAGCAAGTAGTTTACTCTCAGCAGCAGCCAAAGCACAGCTAGCAAATCAAAACAAACTTGCTGGTAACAACAGTAGCAGCAGTAGCAATTCTGGAGCTGTTGCCGGCAGCGGCAACACTGAAGGACATAGCACTTTAAACACCATGTTCCCTCCTACTGCCAACATGCTTCTCCCAACAGGTGAAGGGCAAAGTGGTCGAGCAGCACTAAGAGATAAGCTGATGTCTCAGCAAAAAGACTCAATGCGGAAAAGAAAACAGCCGCCTACCACAGTATTGAGCTTGCTCAGACAGTCTCAAGTGGATAGTTCTGCAGTTCCTAAGCCTGGACCCGACCTGCTAAGGAAGCAGGGTCAGGGTCCATTTCCCATCAGTTCAATGTCTCAGTTACTTCACTTGAGTAGCAATAGTACCCCGGTTTGCGGGGGCTCAAATACTGCTTTGCCTTGCTCTGCTAACCAGCTGCATTTTACAGATCCCAACATGAGCTCCAGTGTTCTTCAGAACTCACTGGCACAGAACATACCTCTGAGAGGGGAAGCTGTGCACTGCCACAATGCAAATACTAACTTTGTTCACAGTAACAGTCCAGTCCCGAACCACCGTCTTGCAGGTTTGATCAATCAGATTCAGGCTAGCGGGAACTGTGGGATGCTCAGTCAGTCGGGCATGGCTTTAGGAAATTCATTACATCCCAATCCACCTCAGTCAAGAATTTCAGCGTCCTCCACTCCAGTGATACCAAACAGCATTGTTAGCAGCTATAATCAAACAAGTTCTGAAGCAGGTATGGTTTTATTAGAAAAAAGTACCCCGAGGTACTAAACTTTTCTACTTTTTTAAAAGAATTTGTACCAAAATATTTATTATTATAACAGATGATCCTCCCTCATCCCCCCTCCCCCCATTGTGAAATTCTCATTACTTCTTTAGTATTTATGATTTTATTTACAGAACGCTAAGTTGTCTATTAGAGAGAATGGCAGCCAAGGGGATCTGGGGCGTTTCCGTTATTTGTTGTCTATCTGTGTCATTTTGAGCCTCGTGTGACTTCCAGTTGGGGGTGTGATCTGTGTGGATTTTAAAGTGCAAAAGAAGCCATAGGAGGCAGGTTGCCTGGTTTGTCAGACAAGCGTTTGGCCTATGCGAATCGAAAGCTGTTTTCTCCAGCGTTTGCCTGCACACAAGTAAATGAAGCTCATTTTTGAAACCCCAAAAAGGTGAAAATGAATGCATTTCCCCCCCCTTGCTTTCTGACTAGAAATAGACAAATAGATAGGAAAGGTAACTAGAATTTGCATGAAGTAGAAAGCCACCCGCTAATGTTTTCTTACCCTAGTTTGCTATCCCTTACTATTATTTGCTTGAGAACATTCAAGAATGGATATTGGCTACTCTCTCTATTTAAAGAATTACGTTTTCTAATAAAAAGGCTTGAAAACATGATTTCCAGAATTTTTTATCTTGACATTATTTTAGAATTTATCTTCTAAAATGGAACCATCAATTTTACCATGAACAGTAAGATTTGAGCCCAAACTTACTGCACCTCTTCATCCACTTATTAATGTAGAGACAAATTTGTTTCAAAGTATGCACGTTAGTAAAAAGAACTCCGTGTGTGCACTTGAGTCCCCAGAAGTGTTATAATGAAGATGCACAAGAGCGGCAAAGTCACTGAAGCATCAGATAATCTGACCCTGAACCCATTAGAAAGTGTATGCAAAACCCAAAACTAATGATTCGAGAGGTTTGTGAGAAATGACAGGAGGGAATAAAAGGCAATTGTAGAGATAATATTATTCAGATCTGAAAGCAGTGGGCTTTCAAAACCAGATTGCTGCTGGAGATGAAAAACTGCTGAAGCTTTTTTTAATAATACGCTGTCGTGTAAGCTATGTATAGGGTGTATCATACCACCATCCTGGAAAAGCATTGTAACCCACTTCTCTTTGTCATAGCTCAAAAATCACGTGTTTTCCTCCCCAGTGTTGCCATTCATGCCTGCCATCCTCTACAATTTGTGTTGTATGTTTCTGTTTTGATATTCGTATTTAATCAAGAACTAACTGTTCGATGGCCTCTTATGTTAAAAAATATATAAGGTTTAGAAGCTGTTTTAAATGATGAGCACCTCCTTGATAGCCACAGTCTAAGAAATCTCACGGAGCTTCATTTTTATATGTTTAGCAGGATATTTATACTATCAGGAGCTTCCAGGTTTCCAGGATCATCTTCATTTGCAGATAATTCCACACAAATGAGAATTTCATCTTATGCATCTAGCAGATCCAAGATAGATAGATAGGGCTAATCACTATTTTCTAAAAGCACCTTATTTATTGAACATACCTCTAATCGTTATATCTTTAAATTTTGATACCCTTTACTTCATCTTATTTCAGGTCGAAGTGCATATGTGCAAAGTGTATGTATTTTTTTAATGCTATATTTTAATTCATTTAAATGGGAAAAGATCAACATTTATTTGTATTTCTTGTTTCTTCCAATTGTCACATTTAAACTTCACACAGTGTTAAAAAAAAATTTTCCCCCTTTTCCATAACATTTGTGTCAAACATCTGACCTGGCTTGCCAGTGCTGGGAGTGTCAAAACACACAGGTTGAAATTTCATTAATATAAGAAAAGTGTTAGCATATAAATAGCAAGAATAAATGTCTAATAATGATGTGGATGTGGCCAATCACGTGGAAGCTGACAAGAAGCATACACTTAATGAAAGCCTAGGTCAGTCAGAATTTTCAAAATACAAAACCTAATAAAATTAAATACTAATTAATGTGCATAGGTCTGATATGCAGCTGGCTATAAAAATGGATAGATTTACTAATTAATGTAACTCTTTGATGAGCTAAGTATCGAAGGGGTTTCTACTGCCCTTTTCCTTTTGGATGTGTGGTAAACTGTGACGACTGAGATTGCCCATCCTAGATGTCTGTTTACACTGGCATTTATTCACTCTCCAGTAGTCGTGTAGCACAGAGGTGGTGCTACACCTCAGAGTGCACTAATAGTCACAGCTATCCATGTAAGTTTGGCTAAGTACTATCTCGCCTGCCAATCAGATCCTAGACATGGGGATGCTTTTCGTTTTTACAATGTTTTTAGGGAGTGATCCCTATCACTGAGTATGTTGTGTGCAAGCTGATTTACCTAGACTATTTCTAATTTGTACCCCTTTCTAAAATACAAGGCTTTATTGCCCCCATTTTATAGACAGGAAGCTGAAAGGCCGAGGACTTAAATAACAGCCCAGGATCACACATGATTGAGTCATTATATGAACCCAGGTTCATCTGATTCTTAACTCCTTGGCTACATAAATTACGTCATCTGAAACATTGTGTGAGCAGAAATATTCTTCCCAATTTCGAAATCTGTAGTCATGTTAAACACTATGAATTAGAGCACATTTGTGAGTGTGCAGCCACATATGAAAATGTTTGATGCACTTTGGGTTATCAACGAAAGTCGGTTACTTTTGCTTTCTCTTTATAGAAGGTGTTATCATAGTGTACACTGATTAGAATGTTTGTGTCAACTTGAGAGAACGTCCCCTTGCCTGATAATCACATTTGGTAACCCCGGTTATAAAGAATTGCTCTCACCGCACTCAGAGAAGAGTGAGTTTCACCATGGATGATGGCAGGTCAGTAGATCATTGAAAGAGGTGACTGCAGAAAGATGCTAGCCAGGCCATGCCAAGTATGGTGGTGAAAGAGACTCCCTGCCTACATGACCAACTCCACCCGCTCCCAAAGGAGTCCAACTCCTTTTTCATAGTCGTCTACGTATCAGCTCAAACATAATCTTACATAAGACAGTAATTAAGGTGAGAAATCGCTTGCTCTCAAGACACTTGATTTGATTGCTTGATAATATATTTTCAAAAATACCTTTAAAGAGAGTTTTATCTCCATAACCCAAATGCTGATTTATGGGCCGATCTATAAGTGAATTCTGTGAGACATATTTTAAATGTATTACCATCCAAGTAGGGGAATTAGAAGCAAAGTTAGTAATAAAGTAAGGGGAAAAACATTTTTAAAATTTCTAAGAATAAAGAATATACAAGGTTGTATTAGTTCTATTCAGTGCCTTCAAATTACCCTATCACTAGAGCTCTCTAACCACCTTGCTTTATAAAGTTTACAGATTTTACTGGCTTTTTCAGCATGAAATTACAAGTGAAGCTTGATATTTTTATATAACACATTTGAAAACTAGGATATTTGAACACAACTCAAGTTGTAAAGCAAAGTTTTGGTGGGTCAGAACCACAGTTCCTGAATCTTACTCCAGATACTCAAAACTGCTACAGGCAGGTATGTTCTGGAAGTCCATCACCAATGTACATTGAAAGCAACTTGCATATTGGAAGAGAGAGACATTTCAGCATTAAAGGCCCTCTGGCACATGCTTGTATCCCTCTAGTTGAAACCAAAATCAAATGCCCTTGACTGGCAAACTTCATCAGGCCCACATCCCTTTGGACCACATCTCTCTAACAAAAGCACAAGTGCCAGCAGCCCAGGCTTCTGCAGAATGCCTGCCACTGTCTGCAAAAGCACCCATTCCTTTATGGCCTTGCAATTCTGTGAGACATATCAGTACCTGACCCCTGCATGGCAGAATAGAACTGCCCCCATAGGATTTGGGGGGCTGTATTCTTCACAGAAGTGGTTTACCAAGTCTTCCTCCTGCAGAGCTGCTGGGTGGGATTGCACATACCTTTCAGCTAACAGCTGAGTACTGCCGTTGACTCTGACCTCCCTCCAGTATGTGAAGTTGTTAAATACAATTTAACTTTTTCGTTTGGAAATGCTTTTTATAGTTGCATCCTTTTTTTCTAGTCAAAAGCACTCAGTCAACATTTATAGCAACTGAAGACAGTCCTTTGAACTAGAAAAATAATCATTAAAACATTTATTTGCCTTAACTTTTAAAGATATACATTTACTAACAAGAATATACATAAACCTATGAATAAATTAATGTTCATGAATATATGTATATTTTTTCACTGTGGAGATGAAAATTCTTTCAGCACAAAATGCATTTGATTGACTAAAGGCAGCCATTGAGATGGTAGGTATAAGAATATGTAATAGACCACAAGAGGATACTGTGGGTTTATAAAGAAAGGCTGCAAAGTTAAGAGTTTTGTTGAGTTTTGGTTTGGGGTTGCTTTTTGTTTTCTTTTGTGCAGGGGGTGGGCAGAGGTTCTATGTATTAATCTATTTCAAACCTGTATTAGGTATAATACACTGGAAATGTGCCAATAAAGAAAACAAAGAGAAGTTGTCAGTCTCACATTGTATAGATGAGACTTCAGCTACAGAGAGGTGACAAGGTGGCCATGATCAAGGGTGATTTGTATAGATTAGCTCTCTCAAGAGATGAGGAGTTTGTTTAAAAATACTCTTCAGAGCCCTCTGTAGACTGACATAGAACGGTTGTATGACTTGTATGCAGAGACTTGAAGGTTGTATATGAATATATAATAGTTACTTTTGAAATATTTCCACCCAAAACTTTAAATGTCATGATTGCTATAAAGGCTTCTAGGTGAAACGTTGCCCTCTGCTCTTGTTTTAAAACCATGCACCAAAACTGAGTTTGCCCATAATATGAAAATCTTGATTGTGTGCTGAAAAAAAAAAAATCTTTACCTATTCTCATTAAATTTTTACAAAATAAGCCATTTCTTTGCTGTAAGATACTTTTACTACAGACAATGTCTTGCTGTTTAAAGGCGTTTTCTT